GTGCTGGGATTAAAGGCGTGCGCCACCACACCTGGCATAAATCCCTTTTATAAGATGCAGAATGAATCAATGCAAGATTTGGCTAATTTTAACTCTAAAAGAAAAACTTTTTGATTTGATGAAATTTTCTAACTTGAAGCTAATATGAAAACCCATGGAGACCTTAAAGAGAATTCAGACTTCATCTAATTCACAAAGAGGAGGACGTGCACAAGGCTGAAGTCTGAAAGAGCGCTAAGAAGGCGGGAGCTCTAAATCACTCCTGATTGAGCCTCCTGATTCTCTGGAGAGTGTACTTCTCCAGGGAGGTTTCAAACTTTTAAATTCTGAATTCTGGACAATTCCTGGAATAAGGGCATTACACATTTTGAGACTGTTCAAGTTCTGCTATTTCAGAACAAATGAAAAAAATTCCACATCAAAAAAAAATCTGTCTTTGCCACTTTACTTCTAACTAGTAACTACTAACATCTCGTGGTCTAATTAATGTCTTAAGCTGAGCAAACCTATAGCAAGAGTAGGAGAAAAAGGAGTGATGAGCCATATAACAAAGGGTCTGTTTCCAGCCTGGGGAAATAAACAAATGGCCCGGATATCACCAAAGGCAAAGAGAGGGCTGGGAACAGGTCCCCACAGCCTGCCTCTTCTGTTTCAAAGCTATAAAATTCACTTTGCTTTACCAGAGTTTCTCTCACTTAGCCCCTAAGACAATAACTAGGAATCAGGCTGGGGATGAACCTCACTCAGGGACAGAGTACTTGCCTGGTACTCCTAAGACTCTAGGTTCAGTCCTCAGCATCTCAAAAACACTGAACCTTAGCCGGGAGTGGTGGTGCACGCCTTTAATCCCAGCAATCGGGAGGCAGAGACAGGCGGATCTCTGTGAGTTTGAGGCCAACCTGGTCTACATAGTGAGTTCCAGGACAGCTGGGGCTGCAGGGAGACCTTGTCTCAAAAGGACCAAAAAAAAAAAAAAAAAAAAAAAAAAAACCACACTAAATCTCAGACTCTGGCACTTATTTTCGACCAAAAAATTTAGCTTCCAGAGGGAAGAGGGAGGAGAGGAAGAGACAGGGACAGGGTACCATCACAAAGGGCTGTAGGCAAAGAACAGTTTGAGATTCTCCTTGGTTGATGTAAATGGAACACTTGTCCACAGTTTTCAAAGAAAACACTATCACCAACAGAAAATAAGCAAGCCTGCTCTGCACTTTACCAACATGACTAGGACGGGCAAAGACCAGGAGGGCATCTGTACCAACTTCTGGGTCAAAACACCAGGCTGGAGCTGGAGCTTAGGAGCAGAACACAAGGCCTTGGGGTTCATCCCAGAACCACACACAAAGACTATAGGGACAGTCAACACTTAGCAGACAAAGTTACAACTAGGAGCCAGTGTGGCCGCAAAGGCCTCTAAGCCTAGAACCCAGGAGGTGGAGATGGGAGAACTGCACGTTTTGAGGCCATCCTAGGTTATACAGGAGTACCAGGCCAACCAGGACTATATAGAAAGACTTTTTTTTTTCAAAAAAAAAAAAAAGCTACAAGCACATACATATGTACTTCCTGCGGAGACCTGAGCCTGACATGCATGAAAACACACAAAATGCCAATTTCCTTCTGCTTTTCTGTTTTCAGTGTTGGAGGCTGAATCCAGGGCCTCACATATGCCAGGTAAGTGCTCTGACACTGGGCAGCACTCCTTGCCCTGGAATTTACATACTTATCACCAACAACTTTCTTAAAGAGCTACAAAATTCTGTGTTCCACTATATGACATATAAAGAAATTAAGCTGCAGACACGCTAAGTAATTCACCCAGCACTATATACCCAGAAAGTGAAAGGCCCAGTCCTGAACCTCTACCAGCATGACTCCACGCCTGCAGCACATCATCCTCTTCTATTTTGAACCTCTGTTTTCCATCAAGATCCATAAACTCTTTCTACTGTTAAACCTAAGAACACTGAGTTTCCCAAAAAATGCCTGCTTTTTCAGGAGTGCTAATTAGAAAAACTTCCCACCCTATCAACAGCTGTTCCAAGATAAGAAGATAGATACCTCCATTTGTTCCCCCTTGTGGCTGAAAGGAAAGAGGAGAAAAAAGAGCAATGATCCACTTACCGAGCCCATTCATCAAATCAGGTGCAATCTCAGCCAGTGGCCCACAAAGGAACCCAGGGCAACACTTGGCGGTCCTCTTCTTTGGTTTTTCACATGCTCCTATCCAGGAGCAGCCAGGGGAAAAATGCGTGTTTCATAGTGGACACCACTGGGAACCTGTCCATGTGAAATGCAAACTGCACACTCCTAACAAGCCCTGACTTTCAGGAAACTTAAGAGCTTTGGACCTACTACTTGGGACAAATCACAAACTCACTGAGGTGAGGGTAGGACTCTCTCCCTTATACATCAATTATCAGTTGCTTCCCTTTCAGTTCAGAATTCACCCTATTTGCCTGTGATGGGAAAATAGATCTGTGCTCTGTGAACATTTCAACAGTTTAGTCCGCATACTGTTAAGTTGTCAATAGAGGGCACTGTGAAGACACTGCAGGAGGCTGTGCCTCCTGGTTCCTAAGGGCTTGGCAACAGGCCTGCAACCCAGACAGCTTTTCCAAACTCTGCCTCCTCCAGAGCCAAGCTCTCCCGGTGGGCACAGCTTCCTTGGCGCCAGACTCCCACTGCAGGACACAGAGGGCAGCAGTGCCCAGCGGCCAGCAGTCACTACTCTGGCAGGTCTGTAGCTTCAAACTTCTAAGAAATCTCTCGGAGAACAGTCTCCCCTCCACACCACAGAGGCAAGAACCGTGGCAAGCTCCAAAGGGAACATTTCCTCAAAGTGTGAGTGACACAGCATCAGCAAGCCACACCACACCCTCCCCACCAAGGACAAGGTCCTTCTCAACGTCAAGGGCAGGGAGGGTTTTACCTAACACCAACCACCTTTACAAAATGGCACAGAGGTGAGTGGGTCTTTCTGCATTTTCTAAGCAATGAATATTACATCTAAGTGTGTGACTTTGTCTGACTTAAAATCACTGGAAGTTTCTAATTATGAGTAAGAAAGAGGACGAAAGAAAATTTCTAGCAAGCATAGCTTGCAGCACAAACTGTTCCACCACTTGGGACTTACAACCCATCCAATCCAATGTCCCGTGAATTATCTTTGGCAAACAAAGATACTGTAAAGTGTGGGCCAATAAACTTTCTCGTCATTGCATGAGGCAATCTTCTGGCAGGTTCCAGGGAAAGGACTTTGAGCATGCTGGACTGCAGCACCAGAGAGCCTTTTGTACCATGAGGCCAGTCATGGCCTTGGCACCCGCCCCTGAATGGCTCCATCTCTGCCAGGAAAAGCGGTTTCTTTGTGTATCTTCCATTATCCACTCTTGAGAGTTCTTTCTTTTCATTCAATCCATCTCTATCACAATCTCGTCATACCTAATTCACTGTACTAAACATCCCTATTCAAGTCACTGCAGTTTTTCTCTATTGATGCAATTCAGACTAATACACCTTAATTAAAGGTTGAGTAGTCAGTCCTGTTCAATGATCTAAAAACTAACACAAGACTCTCATGTAAGCAACTAAGAGTGTAAATATTTAAAGCTGAAAATTTATATTTTATAAAAACAAGCACTTCACTGAGTACGTGACAAATTAATTCATATATTCCTTAATAGGACAGGGCCCATGTGATTATGGCCTAGCAAATTCTAATCATGTTGTAAACACTCTACATTCTACAAAACTATTAATAGTACCAAATGTATTAATCACTAGTTTGTTGGGTTTGTTTTTTTTTTTGTCTTTGAGACAGGGTCTCCCTGTAGCCCAGCTGTCCTGGAACTCACTATGTAGACCAGGCTGGCCTTGAACTCACAGGGATCTGCTTGCCTCTACCTCGAGGATGCTAGGATTAAAGGCGAGCACCACCACGCCCTGCAATCACTAGTTTTTTAAATTGTTTTTATTAATTATAGGTGTTTCCTAATAATCAAGCTGTAAAAAGCCTAAAACATGAAAACAAAAATTAAAAATACTACAAAAAAAATTCAATATCAAGGAGAATAGCTTTATGCTAACACTTCCCAATTCAAACATTGCATGCTGAGCCCAACTTCTCTGGAGCCCATTGATGGGCCTTCTAATTCTGCCAGCTCTTAACCACAAGGAAACCCAAACAAGCACGTGATCATGACCATGCAATGGTAAAAGCTGAACAAGATCATGGGAAGGAGCTTGAGGTGCAGGGGATCAGTGCTGTCTTAAAGCTATATGAATGCCTACCCTGCCTATTAAGTAAAAACCCACTGGGGAGTTCACAATATGTAACAATTCAGCGATGTAATAAGCCTAACAAGCTCCAGTTACCTCTTTACAAAATCAAAAACCAAACCAAGGAACAAAATGTTCACCAAAGTTACTCAGGAGAAAAAGTCATCTACTTTTCAGAAAAGCAGAAGGCAGATATCACGTGTCCACCATAATGGACCAAGGAGACCATGGCAGATGGGCTGTGAAGAGTAGATTCATTGTGTTAAGGGTTCCTTTTTTTTTTTTGGTCTTTTTGAGACAGGGTCTCCCTGTAGCCCCAGCTGTCCTGGAACTCACTATGTAGACCAGGCTGGCCTCAAACTCACAAAGATCCACCTGCCTCTGCCTCCCAAATGCTGGGTTAAAGGTGTGCACCACCACACCCGGCAGGGTTCCTTTTTTAATGTTAGAAACATATTCCAGTTTCTTAAACAATAAAAAATAAAATATAAATTCAGTTTCTTTTAAATCACTCCAAAATGAAAAGCATAAAATTATTAGTAGTCACCATTACACGAAAGGGGGACAGGGGGTCTGAGAAGAGGCAAAAGACAAAGCAAACTGACTCATCAAGCAACATTTTTTGTTACCACTGAACAAGAAGGCTACCTTAAAAAAAATCAGAAATTCAAGGTTAAAATGGAAATTTCTTTTTAAAAATCAAAAGCTGTGCTTCTTACTTGAGAGAGTCCAGGGGACGATGCATGTCCCGGGGGCGTGGCCGCAAGATTTGGATGCCCCTTGTTTATTTCATGTGCTGAATAAGGGGAAGGGGTCGGGGGTCCCGGCTGTCTTGCTACTTGTGTTACCTGCGAGGAAATCAAAGAACATATTAATAACTGAATCTATGATTACAGATGAGCTGGCTAAATCATTTATTTTATTAGATTTTGAGCCAGGTAAGGTTGAGCATATTTTCAGTCCCAGCACTCGGGAAGTGGGGGTTGAGGAGTGGGAGAGGTGTCTCTGTGAGATTGAGGCCAGCCTGATCTTCACAGCAAGTTCCAGTTCAGCTGGGGCTACAGGGAGACACTGTCTCAAAAAGACTCAAAAGAAACACACATCAACAATGAAACCTCTTCACCTAAGGCTCACTGAAGATACTGGAACAAGGAGTGAAGAGAACACTAATGCATCTCTCACCTCTCATCAGTGAAGCTTCCTCATGCAACAGAGGGCAATGAACACAAAAGGCCACAATTGGCCAAAGTGCAGCGAATAAGAGACTACATACAGAGTGAACACTCCTGGACAGGATCCCTATATTAAACCTCACCCACCCTGGGTCACTGCTAGGTATACGAGGTACGGAGGGAAACCCAAGAGAATGCACACCCAGGTCTATGTGCAATACAGTCCATGGAAACAACTCTACTGTTCATTAACAGGGTGACTCACCAATTAAAGATTTTCCCACATAGAAATAAAATGAAACCAGAGCAACACAAGACAGATGACACTCATCGATGACACTCAGTGAAAGACAGGAGCAAGTGTCCACATAGGAGCTGACATTCTAGAGTTAAAGTTCCAAAGCAGGACAAACCTGACTCTACTGACCAGAAAAGTAGTAACAATGGAATACAAGCAGGGCTCCTTAAAAAAAATTTTTTTTTTTTTTTTTAAGGCAGATAGTATCACCTATGGAGAAAGAAGAAGCTGGGAATAGAAAAAGATACATAATGGTGTATTTTTGGAACTATAAGATGACAGGTTTTCCTTTAAATTTGTTAGGCTCTTTTAAGTTTCATGTGGTTTGATGCACATATTTTATAATCTCCTTTATCACTTCCACCTCCCCCCCCAAAAAAGCAAACTGCTTAACACCTGGGATGAAACATTAATACCACTCATATTAGTTACAAATAGGTATTCTGCGGAGTGGAGAAAATATAAACAAGGGCTGGGAAAATGGTTCCGTGAGTAAACTGCTTGTACACAAGCATGAAGAACTTGGTTCAGATCCCTAGCGCCCACCTAGAAAGCTGGGTGTGGCAGTGTGCACGAGGAATCCCACAGCACAGGGGAGGTAGAGACAGGAGGATCACAGCCAGTCCAGCTGACCTCCAGGCTCAGTGAGAGAGCCTATCTCAAAAAATGAGGTGGGAGCAGGGTGTGGTGGCGCTCACCTTTGATCCCAGCAGAAGCAGGCGTATCTCTGTGAGTTCAAGGCCAGCCTGGTCTACATAGTGAGTTCTAGGCCAGCTGGTGCTACAGGGAGACCCTGACTCAAAAAGACCAAAAAAAAAAAAAAAAATGAGGTGGAGAGCAGTAGAGAAAGACTCATTTCATTGACCTCAGGGCTCCACAGTGGCACTCAATGACACATGCAAAATGCACACATACCACACACACACCCCAAAAATAATTATAATAAGCAGAAAAATATGATGTAAGAAAGGAAGTCTCTAGGGAACTGGGAGTGTGGCTTAGTGAGCAAAGTGAGGCTCAGAGTTGATCCCCAGCACTCACACAAAAGACAGGCACAGCAGCTCAGTGCTGAGAGAGGTGTAGACACAGGGGATTCCAGGAGCTCACTGGACAGCCAGTTTAGTCAATAGGCAAGTCCCAGGTTCACTAAGAGACCCTGTCTCAAAAACTAAGATGGAAAGCAATAAAGGAAGACACTTGACCTTGACCTCTGGCATCCATGAGCACATGCACAGGTATGATCGATGACACACATACACATACATTCCCCCTTTCACACACATTTCAACTCCCCCAGACATCCTGAAATCGTGACTTATTAAAAATTGCAGTAGACTTGTGACTTTTCATTCAAGACTTCTACTTAAAACAGTATCTCATAAAGTCTATGACATTCGATGGTAACAACTATGCAAACTAAGATCAAGCATTAGATCCACAGGTCTAATCTGATCACATACAGTCAATGCAGGGCTATCCCACATATGCTACCACTTTCCAATAGTAATTAAAATTGGGGGGGTTCCCTTCAACATGATCATCCTTTCATGACTCCAGAGAAAGGGAACACTGCAGGAAACATGGGTTGACTGGTAAAGCATAAACAGAGATTAGGACTAGGGAGAACTGGGAAGAGTGGCCACTGTCAGGGGGAGGAGAAGCCTGGAGTTGCCAGGTAGGAATGCAGAGGAATGCAAGCTTCTAATTTTCAAGAAAGACTAAGGATGTTTCTTTGTAATCCCCTTGACTCCCAAAGCATTGCATAAGCTAATAGAAAAGCACAAGCAATCACCGTGTGAACCTGGCTCCAGGGGAGTCTCGGGATTACAACCAAATAAAACTGTTTCCAAGTACTCAGGTTACACCTGTGAGTGGATGCTAGCCACACTCAGAAAACATTCTTTGTTGTGTATCTATATAATGTCTAATTAAAAACATAATACTGAAGCAAAGTATTGTAATTAAGTGTTTACTGAAAGGATAAAGAAAGAAAATTCCAGGATCCTAACAAGTAAATTAAGCTTCTTTTCATTTATTTTATTTATTTTATTTTTTTTGGTCTTTTTGAGACAGGGTCTCCCTGTAGCCCCAGCTGTCCTGGAACTCACTATGTAGACCAGGCTGGCCTTGAACTCACAGAGATCCACTTGCCTCTGCCTCCCGAGTGCTGGGATTAAAGTCACCAAGCCTGACCTTTTAAACTTCTTTTTAGCAACAAATTGTTCCTATGAAGGTAAAAGGTCCAAGGCTTGTGTCTAAGAAGTCATCATTACTTTTCTCCATTCCAAGATAAAGTTTACTTAGTGAAAAGCAGTACAAAAGAGCCTGATATGGTGGAGCTCACCTGTAATCCCAGCACTAGAGAAGCAGAAGCAGGAAGATCTAGGGTTCAAAGCCAGCCTGGACTATATAGAGAGTTCCAGGCCAGCCTGGGGTAGAGGAGACCTAACTCCAAAAGCCTAAGTAATTAAAAACAAGAACATTCAAACAGTTCCAACTCCCACACAGAGATGGCCAAGTTCAATCAGAGGTGACAGAAAGGATGCCAAAGCTTTGTTCCCTGACGGATTTCAACACTCTGCGTTCCTTAAGCAACAGAATGGGTACTGACTGCCCTCAGCAGCTCGCATGTTATCCAGCTCTTCCTTCAGAACATTTCTCCAAACAGACAGATACTAGAAAACAAACAAATCTGAGCTGTTCAATCAAAAGAACCAGTACATGCGGATGAGCTAGCTCAGTGGGTAAAAGTTCTTGCCACCAAGCCTGGCACCCTGAGTTCATCTCTGGGACCTAAATGGTTGAAGAAGAGAACCACCTCCTGTAACTATCCTGACTTCCACATGTGCATCAGGGCCTGCACACCCACACAAAGTAAATAAATGTAAAACATTTTTATTTGTTTTTTGAAAAATTAGCCAGTACAACAGATACTAAGGAATTTTATTTAACATAATGATGCTTCTCAAATTCACTCTGACATTATCAGCACCAATCCTCAGGAAAGAATAGGCATGGATGGGAGGGAAGGAGACAAGCAGGAAGGGAGGGAGGGATTTTTCTTCCCTTTTCTATTCAACACTTACTAGACTGCACTACATGAAATGCCAGGTATTCAAGTACATTTTGACCTTGAAAAACAGCAATTCCATGAAATCCATCAAATCATACACTAACACTTAAGAGAACAGACTCCACATGTTTTATTATGAACTCAGCACAGGGTTCAATTCTGAGGAGTTTTTGTTTGTTTGTTTGTTTTTGTATTTAGTAAGTGGTCAAAACGAACAAGAAGTAGATTAGCTGCTGATTTGGTTAGCACGAGTATCTCCCTGGCCATCCCAGGTGTGGAAGTGGAGGGAAGTGAGAAGCACACCTCTCCCTGGGGGCAGAGAATTTTGTGAGCAGAATTCTAAGAAGGTTCTCTGTGTTCCTGGCCTTAATAGACACACACTATATCGGGTCCTCCCCTTAAAGAATGGGCAAGACCAGGACATGTAGGGGAGGATATCACTCCTGTAACAAGGTGATTAAACATTTGACTTGGAATGAACCAAAATGGAGATCAGCTTGGATAGGCATGACATCACCAGATGAGCTGTTTTAAAGGCAGTGATTATCTCTGAGGATATTCTCCAGAAGGCCACTAACACTAAGAAGATTACCATGTTTGGAAAGAGACAGCCACACAGCAAGGATCTCTGGATGGCCCTAAAGCTGAGAAGCAACAGAAGCAAGAACACCCAGAAGCAAGAAAATTGGGTATCAGAGCCAGGCATGGTGGCACACGCCTGTATTCCCAGCACTGGGGAGGTGGAGGCACCGGCATCAGCAGTTCACGGTTAGCCAAGGCTACACAGTGAGGGTAAGATGTGGGAAATGTAAATGAAGTGTACTTTCTTTTTCTACCTAGAGGATTACTTGAGACAAAGAAAGTTCCACCTTTAAATAAACTTGCAGAAACATCATCTGGCAAAACTCTCCCAGAGTCAGCATTTTTCTAAGATTAAAGTTTGTGCTCATATCCTGCTTTCTTTCAAAGGCTGAATTTTGTTTATCAGCTTCAAGGATTATAATGAGCCAGCCAAGAAAGAATGTGAGGTCCAGCTCTGACCACACTGGGTGAGTGAGGCCCAGGGCCCTTCTGCAGTAGAATAAAACCCTATCAGGACCTGGCCGGTGTGCTGGCCTGCTGACTTAGAGCAGCTGTCTTCTGCAGAAGTAAAACTTTTTTTTGCTGAAACACTGGAGTGTGTGGTCATTTTCTTGAGACCTCAGACCCATTTCTAACAAAAGCCAGCCTGGGCTACATGAGAACTGTCTCAAAAACAAAACAAAACAGAAAAATAGGGAATTTGACTCCCACAAGGAAAGGCAT